CTCTGTGTCTAGGCAACGTTGCCGCAATATATCAGATAGATTATTACAAAGTATTATTTAAGAGCTCTTGCTTAGGAGAGGTTGAACTTAAGTAACCAATTTACTCATGTGGTAGTATGGAGGAAGTAAGTATATATACAGTTATATAAAAGATATACACACACTAAATAAACCATAATGGCATAATTAGATGGATACTTAGAAAAAGGAGTAACGATACGGCAGCGCTAAATTAGATGAACAAAACGTCAAGTGGAGGGTATTCATAGTTATCACTATGAAAAGTTAACCTTTTCCCTTGTGCCCATCTTATTAGAACTACGGTGGAGGGTTTGATAGAATTTATCTTGATTCCAAGGCGCAAGCTTATAGGTGTCATATAATGATATCCTATATTAAAATTGGCTAACTTGGACTCAGGAAATGCTTGATGCTTAAACAACACTTAAGACCATATATATGTCTAGTTCCACGAGCAGAGAGCCCCCACCTAAGATGTCTCTTCTCTAATCTTTTTGCTCTTTCTTACCTTGGAACTTATTTGTTATGTGTACATGACGTTCATCCCTATGTCTTATCTGTATTCTCTTCCTATTACTGTTCTAAGAGTATTTGCACGTAAGCACTTACTTTTTAATGTATAAAACCCAGCTGATGAATAAAACGTCAGAGGCTTATTTTGAATACCAACAGGTGTCTGGTGTCTAATTCTCGCTTCTCCAAGTGCACTTGTAACAACAATTTGGGCTTCCTCTGAATATAAAAAAGATCAAAATTTCTGATCCACAACAAGGGCCTGGATCAAAACTCTCTCTGCTGAGGTAATATGACAGCTAACATCCTTTACTTACTTGATAAGTCTTACTGCACTTTCTGAAGAGAGCTGTACCATGCATGGGGCTGTGGCGAACCATGTTCCCAGCTTTACCCTGAACTGGGAGGGAGTAAGGTGACTTCAGCAGACATTCATCTTGCACCATGAAGATGTAAAAATTAAAGTGTCCTTCCACTGCAATCTGAGAAACCTTGGTGATGTGGGGCTATGAGTACATGGAAATAGGCATCCTGCAAATCTACAGCCATCATTCAGTGTACTAGGAATACTGTCTTTATGATGAATGTTAAAGAATCCTATAAACGTATGCAGATCTAGAATGGATCCATCTGCCTGTTAGAAACAGAATCTTTGTTTTCTAGCTGCTTTAGAAATTTCTCACAATAGATCCCTTTTATTGAAGGGAAACCATGCAATTTACAAATTGTCTCTTTTTTTCCTTTTCTCTTCCTCTGTCATAAGAATGACCACTTCTCAAGGTTGAGATCTACCCTACTTTCTTCTTGGTGTGAAATACCTGGGTCATTAAAGAAAGTAGACAAGCTTTCCTGCCCTCAGCCGTTCTCTTGATCCATTCATCCAGGAGGATGCATCTGCAGACCAGGTACTGAGCCAAAGAGCACGACTAGTAGACACTGAGAGAGTCATATTTATGGTCAGAGTATAACACAACCTACGGAGGCTACCAAGCTTAAGACTATTTCCAGCTTAATGACTTTAAAAAATTGCTAACAGACAAAAGGAAGATTATCTTCGATATGTTCCTCCAAATTATCCATACCAATCTTAGATCCTTACAGAATGATGTAAGAGCTACAGCAGGGTGAAAGACTGTGCCAGCTGCCACATAGGTTTTTAGAGCAGATCAAGGCCATCTATACATCATGGAGTCTCAGAGAGAGGCCGTATTGTTTACAGGCAGACTGGAATGTTAAGCCAGTCTAATTACTGCATCATCCAGTTAGGAGCAGAGTCCCAGGTACTAGCATCTAAAATCCCAATGGATAAAGACAGGAGATACGAACCTGTGTTTAAAACTTCTCTCAGTGTAGAACCAATCCTCCATAATAAGGATCCTAATGGTGCCGGAAACTGGAAGGATGCTCTGTTCCTTCTGATAGTGAAAAGAAAGGCTAGAAGTAGAGGCTCGACCTTAGAAGATTTTTCAGGTATACAGACCTGCGGATTCTGTAAATCAAATGGTCCACTTGAGCTGATTCTGGAGATACTGAAATAGGCTGAATATCTTCATCGAAGGATGATACCTTAGCTCTGAATGGATCCATCTCCAAGGATTCCTCAGAGTATTCTTTCTGGGAAGAGTCTAGAGGATCCAAGCTTTAACAGCTTCTATAATACCTTTAGATACCTTCTGTTTGATATTGCATAATATACAGCACAGGGTTAGATGGGCCTGTAGCCACTTTCAGACAGTCTGCGCAGAGACTTTACTTACAAGACCCGTATTGTTCTTGCCCTCAGCCGTTATCATATGCCTTACAGGATCGTTTAGGGAGTCTTCCCTTGTACGATTCAGATGATTTTCTTCCTGTAGAGCTACCATAATAGGGTAATCCAATTATTAATCCTTACAATCCATATACTCTTTATGTGCATGCTCTGCCTGCTACCCCTTGGGTCACTGCTGGAAATAGGGTGATGGCATGATCTTGCTAACCCTAGGGTCACAGCAAGTAAATCGATATGCTCTGTATGTGCCTGCCCAACCTGCTACACCTTGGATCACAGCAAAATATAGGGTGATGGTATAGTCTTGCTATTCCTTGGGTCAGAGCAAGTAAACCCCCGGTCACCAAAGGGGTATCTTCAGGGGGACACTTTTGCACAGGGCTGTGTACTGCAGATTTCCCAAGGAAGAGAGGCTGAGCAGCCTTGAAGCAGAAGGTAACAACCTTCAGGTATGTCAAATGGAAAAATGATCTAGTCTTAGAATGACTAAGTCTGTCCTAGGACAGAAACAGAAAGACTGAGGGTGAGAGGGGTTACTTATTATGGCTACGTGGGGATAGGGAGGAGCTAGCCATTGTTGTGCTGCCATGGATATGGCCAGGAAATAATTATTAGAAACTAAAGCAGAAAAGTGAAAGTTCTACTTTGCTGTGTGTTCAAAGATTTCCAGTAAAGAAAAATACAAACCCCAAACACTGTTAATTAAATGTACATTTGTATTTACATATACATTTTAAAAAGAAAAATATTATGCTGCGATGGCCGGGAATCGAACCCGGGTCAACTGCTTGGAAGGCAGCTATGCTCACCACTATACCACCATCGCTGATATAAGAATACATATTTCCCAGAAAAATCCAATGTACTCCAAAATTCTGAGTCACGTGTATGAGTTGTGAAGCTCCTCTAAATATAGCCATAAAAAAAATGTTGTAAATTTGCAAATCTTGCAAGTAAATGCAATGTATGTAAAACTTACAGAATATCTGCTTGGTACGTCATGCCGTTTCTGCTCTGTGTGTGTTTCAGCTATTCCCCCCAGGCTATCAATCACAGATTATCTGCTGTACTGTATTACTTGCTGTATTACTACATACAATCTTTAACTCTGTTTCAGAGTTCTGTAGGAACATGTGGGGGGGGTGAGAGCTTTATACATGCCATCTAACTGATAAGGCCACATAGATTTAGGAAAATGATCTATTCTATCATTATCTCGTAAATATATCTACTTAACTCCTTCAAGACCAGGATTAGGCAAACGGAAGCTCTGGCAAGAACATTATGTATTTGTTATATATGTATCAGGCCCAGACCTTTCTCTGAAAAGCCAGTGTTTACATTGAAAAGTCTGCTAGGACAGGGTATAGACACCAGAACCACTACATTAAGCTGTAGTGGTTCTGATGACTAAAGTGTCCATTTAAGAATTGTATTTTTGTTGTTGAAAATTAAGGTTTGTTTAAAAACTTTTTTTAGCTGGCTCCTAGATTCCAAGCAAATTTGTAAATTTGTCAAGCCCTGCATTATATATACACACGCCTTCTCTATTTATATTATACACAAACAGTGCCATCCTCTCAATTTACAAGACATACATATACATATATATATATATATATTTGTAGTCGGAAACATAAAGGTCCTTTGTAGACAATGGTGGTGCAAGTCAGTAGTGGTGTCCTGAAACCGATGTACAGGTAGGCCTGTCAATAAAAGAGGGCCCACCAAGGTAGATAAATAAATATAATTGGAATATATAAATTAAATAAGGGGTAAAGGTGGGTGGGGATAAAATGAGACAGAACAGCCCAGGTAAGAGGGGGGCTAGGGTTTATATAGGCCAGTCTCCCCCCACAAAAACAGGCCTGCAGTCTTAAAACTTGTAGTGGGAAACATAAAGGCCGTACGTAGACAATGGTGGTGCAAGTCGGTTGTGGTGTGCTGAAACCGACGTATAGGTAATTAAAAGAGGGCAAAAAGGTTGCAAAGAAAACTTTATTAACACAAAATTATAATGCTAATCTTTTAAAGGCTTTCTTAAGTTCTTTCTCTGGTTGAGGGATATAACAGTTGTAAACGAAGGATTTCCATCGACCCAGCTTTTTGATGATGTGAACTGGGGTGTCAACACTAGAAGCAGCCAAAGCTGCCCGTATTCTAAATGAATGTCCGTAAAATGATGCAGGATTGAGACCTAGTCTTAGAGGCAAAGTCCTATCGTAGAGAATAAATTTAGAGGTGGTAAGAGGATATCCTTGAAGTAAAAGAAAAGGTGAATTAGATGGATTGTTCAAACTGTATGAATGTAGGATTCCAGTACTTTGACTGGGCACCAGTAATTATCCATAGAGAATAATGGAATTACAGATGGTTAGTCTTGGATGTTTTAAGGGTCAGAACGTAGTGGTCGGTAGCCTTAATAACATCAGATATCTTTAGCCTAAGGTTTACCTCTGTCTGTCATACTACTGTGAATTCCCTTGGCCTCAAAAATCCATAGAAAGCTATGTAAATGCTTTAATTACATTATTAGTGTGACTATCAAATGGATTAGCGTCCAGCACGTCAGAGAGAGCTCTAAATTTAGGATCGGCAATCTATGTGTACTAAGGGAGTGGTCAGTATTATTAATACTTTAAGGATGTTCTTTATAGGGTAAGAAGAGAGAAAGGGTGTGTGATTAGGCCCTGGGGGAGATAGCGCAGCTAAGCGGACAAGGGCACATGTAGGAGTGTGGGGATAGATGGGATTATGGGATTGGTTGGGAAAGAGTGTGTGGGTGGGATTATGTTCTGTGTAAATTAGTGTGGGGGTGGTCTTACCTCAGTGCCACTTGGGATTCGGGCCAGCAAACAGCTTCCTGTCCTCCTGCTCCTGCAGATTTACACAGCTTGAGGGATGGAGGTTGAGGCTTTCTGGCTTCTCTCAGGGCAGCTGCAGCGTGGATGGTGGCCGGCGACTCCATGATCCAGGTGATATCCTCTCCCCAGCTATGGCTGCCGGTGTGGGTTCCCCCCCGTGGCCTGTCTCTCTCTCTGGGGCCTCCCCTGTGGCCTCTACTCCTGGGGGGTACCCTGCCAATACAGGGGGGTACCTGCCACTATAGGGGGTACCCTGTCTAGTCCAGGGGGTACCCTGCCTCTTCCAGGGGGTACCCTGTCACTCCTCCTCAGGCCCGGTTGAGGTGTGGGAGCCTGGGCCCGAGGCATCGCCTGGGACGCGTGTCTGGGGTCTCCAGACACGCGGCCTGCAACTTTTGCGGTGGATTCGCGGCCTTCAGGTGCCGTGCGGGAAGTGCAGCCTACACGGCGTCCGTGGCTGGGGGCGGTGAACGGCAGGCCGCACTATTACGGCAGCGGGCGGCCGTCATGTGGCCTTTTTCATCCCCCGGCGGCTGGCGGGACGGTGGGGCTGTGGCAAGGGCCCCCAAAGGTGGGTAGGCCCGGTGGGGCCGCACGGGATACTCCAAAATTGCCGTTGAAACTCTCCTGCCCCCCCTCTGTTCCTTTCCTGCCCCCCCTCTCTGTTCCACTCCTGCCCCCCCTCTCTGTTCCACTCCTGCCCCCCCTCTCTGTTCCACTCCTGCCCCCCCTCTGTTCCTCCTGCCCCACCTTTCTGTTCTCTCCTGCCCCCTCTCTGTTCCACTCCCCCCCTCTCTGTTCCTCCTGCCCCCCCTCTGTTCCCTCCTGCCCACCTTTCTGTTCCTCTCCTGCCCCACCTGCCCCACCTCTCTGTTCCTCCTGCCCCTCTCTCTCCTGCCCCCCTCTCTGTTCCTCTCCTGCCCCCCCTCTCTTTCTCCTCCTGCCCCCTCTCTGTTCCTCTCCTGCCCCCCCTCCTGCCCTCTCTGTTCCTCCTGCCCCCACCTTTCTGTTCCTCTCCTGCTTTCTGTTCCTCTGCTGCCCCACCTTTCTGTTCCCTCCTGCCCCACCTTTCTGTTCCTCTCCTGCCCCCCTCTCGTTCCTCTCCTGCCCCCCCTCTCTCTGTTCCTCTCCTGCCCCCCTCTCTGTTCCTCTCCTGCTGCCCCCCTCCTGCTGCCTCTCTGTTCCACTCCTGCCACCCCTCTCTGTTCCACTCCTGCCCCCTCTCTGTTCCTCCTGCCCCCCCTCTCTGTTCCTCCTGCCCCCCCTCTCTGTTCCTCCTGCCCCCCCTCTCTGTTCCTCTCCTGCCCCACCTTTCTGTTCCTCTCCTGCCCCACCTCTCTGTTCCTCTCCTGCCCCACCTCTCTGTTCCTCTCCCCCCCCTCTCTGTTCCACTCCTGCCCCACCTTTCTGTTCCACTCCTGCACCCCCTCTCTGTTCTTCTCCTGCCCCCCTCTCTGTTCCTCCTCCTGCCCCCCCTCTCTGTTCCTCTCCTGCCCCCCCCTCTCTGTTCCTCCTGCCCCCTCTCTCTGTTCCTCCTCCTCTCTGCCCCCCCCTCTCTGTTTCCTCCTGCCCCCCCTCTCTGTTCCTGTCTCTGTTCTTCTCTCTCTGCCTTCTGTTCTTCTATCTGGTTACTTACCTCGGCTGCCTCCTGGTGGCACATCCTCTCCATGCCCTTCTCACAGGTCCTGGCTGCAGTTCATAGAAATACCCAGCAGGTGGCGCCTGCAGGTGTCCAGCAGGTGGAGTCCTGAATGAATACCTGAATTGAATGAGAAATAAAAGATTCACACAAAAAAAGAAAGTGGGAAACGGTAAATGGACAGGGAGTCCTCTCCGGTTATTTAACACACCCCTTTTTATCAGTATTTATCATATGTAATAGTACAGTTTCCTGCAGCGTCCTGCGCAGCTAATAGCGCTGGCGTTGCCTCCCAAGAGGCAGGTGGTGAGGGTGGCTTTGGACGCTGCTGCGGGGCGCTAATATGGCCTGCTTGACTTGCGCGTGTCGCGTCATACGAGGGAGCAGTGGTGAGGTTTTTTTTTTCTTAGTGATATGTTCCCTCATGCCGCGGGGGGCCCCGTGTTTGGGAGGGACTCCAGGTGGTGTGCGGGAGGAAAAAAATACCATAATTGGTTTCACCCCATGGTGCGCGAGGAGTGTGTCAGGGCATCGTATGTTATGAATAGCAGTGTCGGGGAGAGGGCTCCCGGGTATGCTCCACGTTGTTCTGCTGTCAGGACACTCTCTGGGACGCGTGTTGTTCCTAGGGTGAGCTGGGTTGGTGGGGATTTGCAGATGGAAATGGGGTCCTCGTGCCGTTCCAGCACGAGGGTTCTGGTCGCAGGGGGGCCCATCCCGTCCCCCGCGTTTTTTTCATGCGGGCGATCTGTCGGGATGGGGGACATGGGTGCTCTCCAAGCAGGACCTTTTGACCCATATGAGACTTCCTTCGGGTGGTGCGGGAGCGGCTTACCAAGAAAGCTTGGTAGGCTTACCTCCCGACCAATTTTAGGGTGCCCCCAAAGTCCGCTCCGCGGGAAACCCCCCCCTTGGGACATGGTGCCTGTAGAGGGGCGGGGTCAATATCGCATGATTTCTTATTTACTCTGTTGTCGTTCCATCTGTTTTCCGGGCCGTATTTCTGACAGTCAGTGTTCTGTGGCTGTGTGCTGTGGCCTCTTAATGTCGCCCTCCTGGGTAAGCTGGGCTTTGCCTGTTGGTGTTGCCCTTGGGGCGGTATGGGGTTTTCCTTTTGGGCCTCCATTAATGGTGGCTTGTGCAATCCGGCCCCCTAAGTCCCTTCCACTGACTTCCACCTGTTGCCGCTGCATCGGGTTTGGGGTTTTTTGGGGCCTAATTGGGTTTTTTCCATGGTGTGCTGACCCTTGGTCAGTAAGCTGGCAAGCATTGGGGCTCTTGCAGACTGGCTGTCTTGGAGCTTCCCCATTCTGGTGGCATGGTAGGCGTGTGGTACCCAACTCCCGGAAAGGTGGGTAGTTCTTCCATTGCGACAATTGTGGGGTGGTGCAGGCTGTCTTTATCATGTGGCAGTACCCTCTACCCACGGTGGTACCTTGGTTGCGGCGCCTAGCTTGGCGCTGCTTGAGTCTGGAAGTGTCTGGTCAGGTGGGGTTTTATCGGGGTTCTATCTTGCTCACGGTAGGACGTACTTCAGGCAGGGGGCTCCGCGGGGCCAAATTATAAGGCGATGGAGACGTGGCTGCTCGGTCTGTCGGACTGATGAAGCGGGTCCATGGGTCCAGCTCTGAGGCGGCGTGGGGCCCACTACGGTAAAGTGTGACCGATCAGGCCGGATGAGAGCATTTCCTTGGCGGCTTCCCGTTCATGTTACGGTCATCTGCAGGCGGGAAGGGGTTTTGGTGGATTGAGTAAGCATTGGAATGGACTTCTTTCAGGCTTTTGCCACTCGACAGCTGTTGTATTTGGGAAAGGTAAGTTGGTAGCGGTTGGCTGATTCATCAATAGAATCTGTTCCGTTCTTGGATGTTGCGGGGTTGACATAACCGGACCCTTTCTGCTTTCTCTTGAGGTAGATGGAATGCACAGGCTAATGGTTAGGCTCCTAACAGGATGTGCTAGGTTTGCAGGAGAGTTGGAAACATACCGTTCCAATTGGGGGGAGCGCCGGTTTCCCACGTGTGCCTTGTTTTCCTTCGGTGAGGGCTATTCCGCCCGTGGGTTGTTCGGCCTCCTCTCCCCTCGTTTGGTTCTTGAAGCCGGGTTTTCTCGCCTGCGTCCATGTCGTGGGGGTGCTCCAATTGGGGCTAGAATTCCTGGGTAAGGATGGTGGAGAGTTCAGGGGGCATTCAGTTCGGTTAGAGACGGCTACAGACGCCGCCAGGCTGGGCGGCTCGTTCACAGGGCTTGAATAGTGGGGGTTAGGGTGGTAGGTTCCTTGGGTTCACCCTGCCGGCCTCCAAATGGATTTCTCTCTGTAGTTACGGTCTACTCCCCCCCCCCCCACCCCGGAATAAGGAGGGTGGGATGCTCATATGTCATTTGGGACAGGAGGCGGGGGAGAGTGGTTGGATCTTACACCTTCGGGAGTGGGGGTTCGGTGGTCTGGCGCCAGATACATGAGGGAGGTGTGGCTCCTCCTTGTCCTGGGTCAGCTGTTGACCTAGGGGTACCGGGTTTTTTTTGTCATCTGTCTGGGTGGAATGACCTGGGTTTGGTGGCTGTTTGGGATTTGGGTGCTCTTAAATCTGGACATGTTACGCATTCTGTTTCTTACCAGAGTTTCTCAGGGGCCGGGCTGAGGCTATCGCCCTTTCCTGTTGGCAGTGCGCTCAGCAATGTGAGTGCCTGTGAGTTTTACTCTACATGAGGAGTCTATAATTATACACACACACACACATATACATACATACATTTTGGGCTATGTTATGTTATTTGTGTTTTTTGGATTGATCCTGAATTGTCATTTCATTTACTGGTGTAGTATTTATTCTATGTTAATCTAGCACTGCTAGAAGTGGTGGAACAGGCTATGGCTGGTTGTGGTAGGGTCCCCCGCTGATTTTAGGTGTAAAACAGCGGGGTTGTGGCGGGGTTATGTCATTGCCAATTGAGTTTGAGGGGTTACGTTTAAGTATATGGAATGAGATGAACAAGTTTTTAAGTTCTCAACCTCCCCTGCTTCAAACGGTTAACATTAGGTTGCCTGAGGTGTAGTGCCCATCGAGCGTGGATAAGGTCGGCTGATGGCGGGCATTGGAAAGATATGATTTTTATGACGAGGGGGGAGGTGAGAGGAAGTGGTGATTAGGAACCACTGTATGTTTATTGGCAAGGACGGTTGGGTCACTGTATAACACCATGTGTGGAGTTATATATGTATATGTGTTAATTTATGCTTATTTATGTCTAACGTTTTTGTTACAGAACAAGAAGAGATTTAATAAATAAGTTATGGATGTGTTATGCAGTAATTTAGTTTGTGATAAATGCTGTGGCCTGTTCATCCATACTAAGTGGTCTGTCATTATTGGAGGGTTGAATGGGGTTAGTTTT